ACTGCCCTCAAGCTACTTTTCCGGGTATCTCTGCCTTTGATAGGAAGGGGATTCAGAGACCTTCTGGATTTGGCCGAATTATGCACTTTTTAAAATCCTTGTTTTTCTTCTGTAACCAAAACGAATTTTTTTTTAGCAAAAACAATTTTTTTAGCAAAATCAAGAAATTCTTTTAGCAAAAACAACGCTTTTTTTTGTTTCAGATGCTAAATTTAGCGCGGCTTGATCCGCATACATTCAATCTCGATCTCTATCTACCGCTTGTCGATCTCTGTGATATTGAAAATGCGAAGCGTGCTCTGCAATTCACATGCTTATTACGAAAACTTGATGGCTTCTGAATTTGCACATGATATATGCTGAAGCAAGTTTTCTAAATGTGTAAAAAAATGAGTGCTTCAAGAAAAAAAAAAAATGCCGGCCATTAGGTACAATCATGAGTTTTTGCATAATTTCGCGCTGTAGTGACACCAGTTGAACTCGCGCATCATCATATTCTCAAAAAAATGCAGCTTCCTAGCTCAACTGGCTCCTAAAATCGCTTACCTAACAAAAGTAGTTTGACTGTTGAAGGATTATCGGTGTGTCTGCATGTGTGTGTGTGTGTGTGTGTGTGTGTGTGTGTGCGTGTGTGTGTGTGTACTCGAATTTTTTTTATCCACATTCAACTCAGCGGTCACAGAAGCTAGGAAGCTGAAACTTTGTGAGGATTTTTCTAGGCAGCTGTACACCATCCGTGTTAGTTCGGTTCATTTTGGAGATTGTAAAATCCAGTACAAAAAAAAATTGATATTATTATTAGTGATATTATTATTAGGAAGGTTTCATATGCGTAGCAACTTCTCAGTTTTAGCATCCCCATTTACCAAACACGATATCCGCTACACAATTTTGGTACTATAGCAAAAAAATAACAGTGTTTTTTGCGGCTTCCGAAAGACTTATTTAATTGATGTGCTGTAGATAGTATTCATATCAGCTATAATTCATGGCCTAGATTTTCAATTTATGCAGCGAATTACGGGTTTTGAGTGACCAGTGCTACATCACTTGATGGTCAGCTTACTGCCGATCCTAACGTTCGTTTCGTCTCCTGAAGGGGTTATTAAGTTCAACGGTTTTTCCGAGAAATGTACTTGACAAGAATTTTAGCCATCTCGAGATGTTCTTAATATGTGTTAGACATCTTCATCTCGTCTCGAATATTGTTGAGATGGCTTCGTGAACTAGCAGAACTTTCCAATGAAACATTTGAAAATTTAAGTTCCCCTCAAATTCATTTTTAATTTAAATTTTACTTTCTTTCCAAAAATAATTTTTCAATAATAAAA